AGGTACCAAATATGTTTCTGAAACTGAATCTTATCCAAAATTTGAACAAGGACAATAGGATTTCAAGGAATCAAGTATTTGAAACACCTAATGTTGATCCTAGTATGTTGTTGGTTAATGGTGATGTTAGCTTGCCCACCAAGAACTGAAACAGACACAGAAGTCATACAGGATCCAAGCCAAGGATACTACTTAAAGCATCTCCATTCTCCTGGGAGTGGCCATTCCTGAGATGTAATTTCCTCCTAGCACTACTCTACCCATATTCTCTACACCACATCTAATATCACACCTTACCTGACAGTTACAACAATTAATCAGTGAAACGACTTGCCTCCAGAAGTTATGGGTGTTCCAACACTGGAGGTTTTTAAGAAGAGACTGGATAACCACTTGCCTGAAATGGTATACAGTTTCTTGCTTGAGCAGGGGGTTGGACTAGAAGGCCTCCAGGGTCCCTTCCAACTCTGTTATTCTGGTATTCTGGCATGTGCCTCTTATATGCTTCTCCCTTATCTATGTTCTTTCCAAAAGAGTAAAAAAAAAATCTTGAGGGTCATAGGCACCTTTGGAATTTTGAGTCAAGCGTGGGTGTTCTTGCAAAATGGTTGTCATGGTGATTGTGCCCAGGAATAGAACGATATACAAGAGGTAACCTGATGTATAACTATTTGGTGCTCCCTAAAAGCATAAGGTGGCATTCTGCTGGGTGCAGCTGGTTTGCGACTTGGGAGCACACTTAGACTTACAAAACATGCTTGAGGAACAAGTAAGGAGTTTTGAATCACTCCTTCTTATATGCCAATTGCAACCTTTCCTAGAACTGGAACACAGACTAGAATACAGAATAACAGAGTAGGAAGGGACCTTGGAGGTTTTCTAGTCCAACCCCTGCTTAAATAGGAGACTCTGTACCATTCAGGGCAAATGGCTGTCCAATCTCTTCTTATTAATCTCCAGTGAGGGACCACCCACAATTGCTGGAGGCAAGCCCTTCTACGGATTAATTGCTCTTACTGTCAGGAAATGTCTCCTTAATTCTAGGTTGCTTCTCTTCTTGATTAGTTTCCACCCATTGCTTCTAGTCTTGCCCTCAGGTGCTTTGGAGAGTAAGTTGAGTCTTTCTTCTCTGGGACAGCTTCTCAAATATTGAAAGACTGCTAGTATGTCACACCTAGTTTTTCACTTCATTAGACTAGACACACTCAATTCCTGTAACCGTTGACTGTACGCCTTAGCCTCCAGCCTCTTAATCATCTTTGTTGTTCTTCTCTGCACTCTTTCTAGACCAGTGATGGCGAACCTATGGGATGGGTGCCAGAGGCGGCACTCATAGCCCTCTCTGTGGGCATGTGCATCATGCCCTGGAGATGGCAACTGTCCCTCTTCAACCAGCCGCCTGCTAATTCGCCGAGGTCCCACGTGGCCGGATGCATCCCGGCATGGCTGGTTCCCCTCCCCCCTGTCCCGTCCCTCCTGGCCTCGCATGCTCTCCTTTTCCCGGACATGACCCACTGCATCGCCTCCTCAGCTGTCGGCCAGCCATCCAGCTCAGGGGTGGCTTCTTTGAACTGCTGGCAATGGGCTGCGGAGCCCCAGAGTGCACCAGTTGAGAGGCCAGCAGGCTGTGGCTGCTGATGGACACCGTCGGCCCCCATGTGCTCACTGGCCTCTGTGTGCGGGGGCCAATGATGTCAGGCAGCAGCTGCCCTGGCCCTTGCCTTGCCCGATGGCAATGGCACCCCCACCCTGCCTCGCCTCACCCTGCAGGACGAGCCTCCTGCCTACTGCCCCACCTGCCAGAGACCCCCTGGATTTCCCCCAACCCTGCCCACCTCCCACGGGCATCCCTCCCCATGAGCAACATTGAGGTGACCATGCCCACCTTGGCCACACCCACCCAATCTGCCATGACCACCACATCCATGCCCACCCAGTGGGCCATGCCCACCTGGCACCCAGCGATAAATAAGTGGGCTTTAGGTTGCAGTTTGGGCACTCGGTCTCTAAAAGGTTCGCCATCACTGTTCTAGACTCTCAATATCTGTGGCCACAACTGGATGTAGTGTTTCAAGTGTGGAATTACCAGTACAGTATAAAAGGGTACTAACATTTCACGTGATCTTGATACTTGATACCTGATATCAGACATTGTGATGCAATTTTGGAAAGACAGGATTTGTGCGATGGTGTCATCAAACGTTACAATTTTGGCAGCACTGTAGCTTGCCACAGATGCTATTGGGCTGTTCTAACTTAAAAGTTAAAAGTCCGATCTCTTCTTAAAAACTTCTTGAAAGCTGCATTTCTTTCCCCATCCCATATGCTTCATTATAAAATTGCTGTTAAAAAAAAGGAGGGGATTGTCCTGATCAATATGCAACTTTCTTGTCTCATGCAAAGAGATTGCTGGATTTCACTTGAAACAGGCAGAATCAACTCCACGGATAAATCATACAAATTACTTTATTCCAGACATCCTCAAGACATTAACTCACAGTTATTGTAGAAGTTCCTCTAGAATATAGATTGTAATCTGGACCCATCATGTAGGTAAAAGGACAATAGATTTCTCCATTCTATGGAACTCCCAGCCCTTGTGGCTAGGATTCATGGAGAGATGATAGACTGGCACGTAAACAGAATATCCCGTAATAAAAACACAAGACCCTCCCAGTGGCCAATTAGAACACAGATATAACCAGGTAACAACTAAAACTACATTTCCCAGAAGGCCACCCTTAAGGGGACAGCATTTTAACCCTTAAAATGCTACTTGCTCTACACACAGTTCTTAATTCCTAAGCTAGCTATATACTCTGACCAGATGGCTATATATTGGACCAGCACAGCAACATTTTTTTCAGTCAGGCACAGTGACGTGCTTCCATTTCAATTGCCGCTTCCTTCCTGTGTCCTATTCCAGTCAACTGCAAACTCTTCCTCTCACAGCTTCTCTGAAAATGTTGGGATTCTCTGCTCTTGCATTAAATCCGATTTTACACATTTTATGACTTGTCATAGTGAAATAATCTAAAACAGCCAGGAAACCTATGACGGGTTTTAGATAAAAGCTTAAGGGGGAGATGAAGGCTTTCTGTTCAGAATCCTTGAACTGCTTTGTCAGTCATTTTTGTGCCATTCTTGAACTCTCGTTTGATATATGGTTAGGCTACTTTTTTAAGACGTGGCATTTGCAATTCTCAAAGTGCAGAAGAAGCTATGTCTAGCTTCAAAAGTGCAATATTTTCCATGCAAAAATCATATTATTGTTGTGCAGTTGCTCTGCATACCAAGTGTTTGAATGCTTTGTCTCAGAATCTCCTAGGATTTTGATACTGTATTTTCGGATCCTTTGAAATGCACAAATGCCTTTTTAGCTCTTAGACACACCAATTGATTAGGACAATTATACTGGTATACTTTGCCTACAAACTCTGCAAGCCCTAATGAATTACAGAACACAGGTAGTCCTCGACTTAGAACCATTCATTTAGTGGCTGTCCAAAGTTACAAGAGAACTGAAAAAAAATTGACTTATGCCTGTTTTCACACTTATGACCACTGCAGCATCTCCATGGTCACATGATCAAACTTCGGACGCTTGGCAACTGGCATGTAATTATGTTGGTTGAAGTGTCCTGGGATCATGTGATCCCTTTTTGTGACCTTCTGAAAAGCAAAGTCAGTAGAGAAGTAAGATTCACTTAACCATGTTACTAATTTAATTGCTGCAGTGATTTGCTTAACAACTGTGGCAAGGAAGGTCATAAAGTGGGGCAAAACTCACTTAATAACTGCCTTGGTTAGCAACAGAAATGTTGGGCTCAGTTGTGGTTGTACGTTGAGGACTACTTGTAATTCAGATTTGTAGACCTTAAGCAAAGGAGAGAGCAGAGACATGGTTTTCACAGAGGTTTTTCATATTTATTCCCACAGGGACATGGAGGTGGAAGTCCTTTGCTATTAGTGCTTCTTTTGACGGGAAGGTTTTATGAACTGACTGGGTGCAGCTTTGAATTTGCTGGATGCAATGTTGAGAAAGATGGGCAGCCTAGAAATATGAAAAAGAAATAAAATGTTCCCAAAGAACTTTCCTTCAAGTGTGCTAAGGTAGTTAATATCTCTCACTGAAAATAAAAGAATAACAAAATAACAGTTGGAAGGGATCTTGGATGTCTTCTAGCGCAAGCTCCTGCTTAAGCAGTGGACCTTATACCATTTCAGACAAATGGGTGTCCAATCTCTTCTTAAAAACCTCCCGTATTGGAGCACCCACAACTTCTGGAGGCAAGTCATTCCACTGATTAATTGTTCTCACTGTCAGGAATTTTTTCCTTAGTTCTAGGTTGCTCCTCTCCTTGATTAGTTTCCATCCATTGCTTCTTGTCCTGCCTTCAGGTGCTTTGGAGAACAGGTTGATCCTCTGTTCTTTGTGGCAGCCCCTGAGATATTGGAACACTGCTATCATTGCTTTCATTAAACTAGACATACCCAATTCCTGCAGCCATTCTTTGTTATGTTTTAGTCTCCTATCCCCTAATCATCTTTGTTGCTCTTCTCTGCACTTTTTCTAGAGTTTCAACATCTTTTTTTAATATTGTGACGACCAAAACTGAATGCACTATTCCAAGTGTGGTCTTACCCAGTGGTAGGATTCAAATATGTGAAGTATCTGCCGAAGTGGTGCGAACCGGCTGAATCTTACCAAACTTTAAACATTGGTGTGTTTTTTTTCTTTTCCCTTTTGTGCAATATTGCTCATTCCTTGCATTGGAAAATCTTATTAACAGAAAAGGAAAAACATAAACACAAGTAAACAAAAACGCACTCAAGAGCAGTAACCTTTTGTCAAGATATTGTCTTGTCACATTTGAAATGTAGACTGAAATTTTGTTTCCTTTTCGTCCCCTTCAATTCAATAAAAAAAGAATTGTGAAAGAGATATAAATGAGCTGACAGTGAAGAATTATAACAGCACATCTTACATGGTCACCTACCAGCCTGCGGTGAATTCCACATGTGCATCAAAGAAGCCTGTGATCTGCCCTGAGGCCACTTTCCAGCCTTCAATGCGAGCTCGGATCAAACCTTCTCTTTTCTGGTTACGGACTACCTTCACCAGGCCTGGATATCTCTTGTTGACGTATTCTTCCAGTGGTGCCTTCAATTCTTCTAGAAGGAGAAGTGAAAACAATGACCAAATGCAAGAAGCTTGAGTGACTAATTCACAGTATATATTCAAAGAACTTCTCTATCTTCTTTTTGAGGTTCTCCAAATCCACCATGATAGCAATAGCAATAGCACTTTGACTTATATACCACCATTTAGTGGTTTAGTTTACAGCACTCACTGAGTGGTTTATAAATGCCAGCATATTGTCCGCAACAATCTGGATCCTCATTTTACCAACCTGGGAAGGATGGAAGGCTGAGTCAAGGCTTGAGCCTGTCAGGATCAAACTCCTGGCAGTGGGCAGAATTAGCCTGCAATACTGCATTCTAACCACTGTGCCACCAGGGCTCTTGACTAATAAGAATCTGTTGGAGGGCTTCCCATCCTTTTGAGAAAGGAAAGAAAGGAATATGTTAGCATATCTTGAAAGAGGCAGAAATCTTTGAAAGGATTCACTCTCACAAGGTATGGTCTGGCCTTTTTTTTTGTATCTTTGTCCCACCCTCTGTGATTTCTTGCGATAAAAAAAAATTAAGTTTAGTTCCCAGCTAATCAAAAAATGTTTATCTGACACTTGGACATTGTTTAAATTGATCAATTAAGTTACATTGGCAAATAGCTTATGATTAGGATTTGCTCAAACAGAGGTGAATGGTCACTGTGATAGACCCTGAGGCACCCCTTGAGGAAAAGGGACCAAAATGTTCAGACCTGTCACTATTCATCTTATTTGGGGATTTTGGTGTTTGGAGATTTGGAGTTATATAGCATCTTAAGACTTGCAGAGGTCCCTAGACATTATAGAAAAGGGGTCCCCAACCTCTGGTCCACGACCCAATGCTGGGTCACAGCCCCTTTGGAACCGGGCCTTGGAAGTAGTCGGTGAGTGTATGTGTATGCTTACAAGCGCAAAGCTGTATTTGTGAAAGTGGTATGCACACATGTACGCGTCTGCAGCTATCCACCCCCATCTCGCTGTTGTTGTCTCCACCGGTCCACTCAGCTGGAAAGATTGGAGACCTCTGTTATAGAAGATTCTCCAAAGTGATGTATAGATCTTAGGAAAGATACAGTTTGGTTAACTCCACAACATTTCCCATGATATGTTGGATGAGAGGGAATTGGCTTAATTTTATAAGCCGTAGTGGTGTAGTGGTTAGAATGCAGTACTGCAGGCTACTTTTGCTGACTGCTGGCTGACTGCAGTTTGGCAGTTTGATTCTCACCAGCTCACCAGGCAGAAGAAGAACATCATGGCTTCAAAATCTAAGGGACTGGTTTGGACAAAACTCAGCAGTACTTTTTCGTGCGGCTGCTGATAAAAACATGATCGCCAACATGATCGCCAACGTCCAATAACAGATATGGCACAAGAAGAAGAAGAGCTCATGCCTTCCATCCTTACAAGGTCAGTAAAATGAGGACCCAGATTGTTTGGGGTCAATATGCTGACTCTGTAAACCGCTTAGAGAGGGCTGTAAAGCACTACGAAGTGGTATATAAGTCTAAGTGCTATTACTCTTGCTAATGCTACTAATGTGTGTTTATGTTTCAAAGAAGAACAAAACCAAATGTAGGTACTGATAGAAGAGAATATTTATAGCTCAGGGTTGAAATGTGGGGTCCTTGGTGCTTCTGAGCTTGATAGTTTTCTTGCAGACATTTCATTACCAAACTAGGTAACATCATCAGTGCACTAATGATGTTACCTAGTTTGATAATGAAATGTCTGTAAGAAAACCACCAAACTCAGAGATCTCTAAGGACCCCATACATATTTTTGCAAGCCAGATATTTACCCATTTTCTTAACCATTTTTATTTTATTCAAAAAAGTAAAAATATAAAGCACCATAATATTTTTAAAAAACAAACAAAAAGAAAAAAATAGAACAAGCAAGACATTAAAAAGAAAAAGGTGCACTAAAAAAAGACTAATACATATACACACCTTGTCCTCCCTGGTTGAATGCTGATTTATATATTACAACAATATTAGTCTCCCAAAACAAGCCAAAATAATGTTAAATTATTAAACTACTAATTCTATATACAAATTCTTAACCTGTCATCTACATACTATATTAATAACAAAATTGTTAATAGGAAGAACAGCAATAATAAAAAAGACAAGATTAAAATTCCAAAACCCTCTGTTAACAATCTGCTATTGTAATCAACTCGTAGAAAATTTACCATGGCTTCTTAACTATCCCAAATCATCCCCAAAATTAACTCTGATGGGTCCTGGATCAAATATCCTTATTTGTTTCTTAATACCATCTCTTATCAGTTATTGTTTGATTAAATACAATAGATCCAATCTTCAAAGTCAGTCTGTCTTTCCCCAAAAAAATTTAATTGCACATCTAATGCAATTCTTCAATTTTGTATCTACCCAGTTCTCCTCCTATTTTTTTATAATGTAACAATCTCAGGATGCCGAAAGCAGTGGCCAGCAGCTACTGTCTAATGATTTAGACATCACATCAAATCCAATTTAATGGCACCAAGTTCTATTTATGATTTCTAGTTCTGGTTAGTTGCCCAGTGACATGCTTTGCTGATCTTGGACATGCCATAGTGTGGAGCACTAATTTGATGAGATCACAATAGCTGTACTGAAATTTCTGAAATAAATTGAAATGTCATCTTCTTACGGGATTTGGACATCAATTCAGGAACATATTAAGGCAATGAGGTAGAATACAGATAGCAACTTACAACACCCGAGTGGAAAATATCACAGTGGTTAGCCAAAATGCTAAAAACAGATGACCCTGTTTGACACTAATGAGATTCCACCGCACTCCACACTAATGTGGAATACACAAACATGGCTTTTCTTGAACCTGGTAAAAGTGTCATTGTGTTCCAAGGTCAAGGATTTGATGAGCTGACCATAACCAACCCACCAATTATTGGCACCACAGCAAAGTAATACACTGGCTAAAGTTGCCACATGGACCAAAATGTGGTTTTCATTCAGTAACTTGGAAAAATGTTTCTAATTTGAGAGAGGCTATAAATCAAAGGAAGATTATGTTCCAGGCATTCCATTCTTTTCATTACTTTGACTTTCTCTACATGTTGTATACTTTTTCTCGTTTTTTTTTCTCTTCCTGAAGCTGCTAGTTGTAAAAGTACTTTTTCAAATGGCAAATGGACTTTCTTTGTTTTTCCTTGAAGTTGTTTTGCTTCTCACTGAGGAAGTGAAACATCCTCAAGGAAAAGCAAAGAAAGTCCAGTTTCCTTTTGAGAAAGCACCTTTGGGACAACCATGACCTGGATGACTGAGAATCTTCATAGACATGAAGATACTTGTGTTTTCAAGGAAGAGAAGAAAGAGGGATGAACAGGTGGAGGAGAAGAAGGGGAAAGGGAAGGGGAAGGGGGAAGAAGAAAGGGCAAAGGAAATAAATCTCTAGGTTTGGCATTAAATATGTGGGCAATATGATTTCCTAACCATTTCTGATTCTTGCCCAAAGGAGAAAAGAAAATCCTTAAATGTTCAGATGTAAAATATGGGCAAAGTCATCATAAAATTAGTGACATTTAGATTCATATCATGGCAGACAGCCAGCTGCTATAAAGACTGTTATGAAATAAAAAACAGAAATGAGATTATTGGAAAAAAAAGCCATTAGAAAGGACTTTTTTTTAATGACTCAGATTCCACTGCCACGCCTGGTCAAGTTAATTTCAGCCCAGATTTATGTTCTCCTCCTTCACCTTTCTTGGAATGCTAGGCTCAAGGTCAAAAGTTCCTCCAAGTTAAAAAGATTGGATAGCATGGGACAGAAAACATCTCTGCTTGAGAAAGAGGAAAACTCTTTCAGTTTAAAAACTTAGTTCCCACACTGCACTATATCATGGTTTGCTTAATCATGGTTGGTTAATAGACATTATAAAGACATCCTCAAGTCAATTTCAACTCCTGGGAGTTGCATTGGACATGTCAATGGAGTTGTTTTGGCAATAACATAGAAGTGGGTTTGACATTGCCATTTTCTGAGACTCTTTTTGATTTCTGATTTTGTCTACACCCCAAGAATTTCCTAGTGGTCTTCCTTCTGAGGAACGAAGCATCCAACCAACCCTTCTTCGCTTCTGAGCCCAAGCAGATGGGCCAAATGCTGCTACCTGATAAAATGTAAAAAAATAATCTACCCAATGCCCCTTTCCCAGTTTTCCCAGTAGTAAAGCATGGCAGTGAGAGTTGGACCATAAGGAAGGCTGAGCACCAAAGAACTGATGCTTTCAAATTGTTGGTGCTGGAGAAGACTCTTGGGAGTCCGTTGGACTGCAAGGAGATCAAATTCTACTCTACTCTACTCTACTCTACTCTACTCTACTCTACTCTACCCTACTCTACAATACTCTACTCTATTCTATTCTATTCTATTCTATTCTATTCTATTCTATTCTATTCTATTCTATTCTATTCTATTCTATATCGGTCTATCCCAATGGAAATTGACACTGACTCTTCTTTGGAAGGACAGATACTGAAGCTGAAGCGCAAATGCTTTGGCCACCAAATGAGAAGAGAGGACTCATTGGAAAAGTTGGGAAAGATGGAAAGCAAAAGGAGAAGGAAAGGGCAAAGGATGAAATGGTTAAATAGTGTCATCAATGCAATGAACATTATGAAAGATTGTGGAAATTGGTACAAAAGGACTTATCAACGTGGAAAAAACTACAGCTTTCATTGCTGGGTCGTATAGCGGCCATTAAAATGAACATTTTGCCCAAGTTTCTTTTTTTATTTCAGATGATACCTATCTTAAAAAATGAACTTAACTTGAAAGAATGGCAAAGAGATCTGAATCGTTTTATTTGGGAAGGCAAGAAGGCGAGAGTTAAATTTAAGATTATTCAAGATACCAGAGAACGTGGAGGACTCAGAGTACCAAATTTGACACTTTATTATGATTCTTGTGCATTAACGTGGATAACTGACTGGATTAATTTGTCCAACAAAGGGATTTTGAATGTCG